CATCAGTGTGACACCAATCACCTTTTAGTCAAACCCAATATGTTGGGTCCCGCCTCCCACCTCATCATTTCATTTCCGTTTTTACAATTAAAAAAAAAAAAAAAAATCAATTAATTAAAAAAATTTCTAAGTTTTTAATTTTTATTTGAGATAATTTGTAATAATTACTATTTTTATTCCTATTAATTTTCGCTTAACTAGTAAACATTATTTAGTGATATATTTTATTAAATAATTATTAGATTCAAAATATAAAAAAAAATAAACTCACCCCTGAAAATTAATCTTATTCAATGAAGGTATTTAAATTAGGGATAATAATATTGTTAATGTTAATATTTAAATTGCTACGGACAAAATATACCCAACACCCTATTTTATTCATTTCTCAATAATAATGTTATTAATGCTTATATAGAGTTTAATAATATATATGATATATTCGTATTGTACTATAGTGTATTTTAATTAATAAATTAATAAATCAATAAGAACTTGGTTAACTTTTTTTTGGCATACGGAACGACGCCGTTTCAGGAAGTTCAAGAATTTTTTATTTTTTACAAGCTGAGGTGGCGGGATTTTGACCGCGGTTAAAGGGTAAATATCAGTTGGTGCGAGGGTCGCCGATCGTCGGTGGAGATTAACCGTCGGTTAATTTGCCAGTTCGAGGGATACAGGAGAAAAAATTAATTAATTAATTAAAAGGAAAAAGAAAAATAATAAAAGAGAGAGAGAGAGAGAAAAAAAAAAAAAAACAGATAGAAAAGAGAGTGATAAAAACAGACGGGGCGAAAGAATCGCCTTGTATATAAGCCAACGAATCCAAAGCCTGGAAGACGAGAGAGACAGAGAGGACCTCCGCGAGCGACGGCGAGCGGTTGTTCTGGTGGTGGCGCTATCGAACGGACATAGAGCTGTTATGGCAGATCCTAATGACTCTGTTTCCGTCGACATGGAGAAGATCTATCTCGGCGGCAAGGTTTGTTTAAATTTCAACTCATTTCTTCTTCTCTTTCTTCCTTCTGGGTTTTTCTTTAATGCCTTGGTTTATGATGGAGTTGAATCGATTTTTTCTTTCTTTTTTTCCCGCGATCGGGTGATTTAAGCGGGATTTTGCTGATTTGATGGCCAAATATCCCGTTTTCTTTTGGCGGTGGGGCTGGGGGTTCTCATTATTTGGTGAAATGTCTTACGGCATTCTATAGCTTTGTTTGGATGTGAAGAAAAAAGTAGGAAATTATTTTGGGGATTATAACTTTTCCACTTTTTTTTTTTTCTTTTCTTTTTCCCGTTGCGATCTGGTTCATTTATGAGTCTCGATTGACGGGGATTTTCAATTTTTGGAAGCTATCAATAATTAAGTTCAAACTCTCTCCCAAAGGTTAATTAATTTGCTACATAATGGGTTGGGTTTTGTGGCTACTTTCTTGATTCAGAGATCTGTGTTTTATCCCTACTCGTTTAAATGCAAGATGTGGTAACGTTGGGCTTTGCCTGCGCATTTGCCATTTCTAGCTTCTGAGGTCCTTTTCTTATAGTTTTTATTATGTTTCATTCCGTTAATATTCCTCGTAATCAATTTGTCTTACCCCTTTTGACAAAGATTTTTCACCTGGTCGAGCTTTTAAGAAGGTTGGAACAGATTGAAGACATCTTGTTGTATATCTTTACTTTGGGAGTTTGGGTTATCAATGGGTTGTGCAGATTAAAGTTGTTTTTACTTTTTGATCTTTTCTCATTCTATGCTTGTAATGAAACTCTGTATGTGTTGACAAGGGTAGTTGCTTATTTATCTTGGCTGTTGTCATAAGTTTAAGCTGAACTATATATTTGTTATACGGACTACTTTTATTGAGTTATACTAAACTGAAGGGACAAGTTAGCTTGGGCATCTTGAAAGGAAATGCACATGAACTGTTCTTTACGTATATTCTTGGCAAGAAATGTTGGACTATTTGAACTTTTTCCTTTCCTCAAAGGCTTCCTTTTTTCTCACCCATAGCTACTTATGTTATTTTCAGGAGTATCATGTACGAACTGGCCAGGGTTCTGTGTCTGTAATAGTCTGTGGAGACCAAGACAAGCCGCCATTGATTACTTATCCTGATTTGGCTCTAAATCGTAAGCACCTGGAGTTATCTTTATGTTGTGGTTTTGGTGACGATATTCGGTTTCTTGTTAGTTTAGTCATCGTCAAATTATGTGAGATAACTTTTAAGTGGTGTGTTTTCTGAGTTCTTGCAGATATGTCGTGTTTTCAAGGATTATTCTTTTTCCCCGAAGCAGCTTCGTTGCTACTTCATAACTTTTGCATTTATCATATCAGTCCTCCAGGACATGAGGTCTGTACTGTTGTTTGTGTTCATGGATAACTTTGTCTGCTGCTCCTGAATACTATATTCACATAGTTTCCTTTTTGGAACTTTACCAAGAGTTCTTGCAGTTAGGAGCTGCTGAGATTTGTCCGCACGATCCTTCGCCCTCTGCCGATGATTTAGCAGATCAAATTCTTGAGGTTCTCAACTATTTTGGGTAATTACAATGCCCCTTTACTTTTTCTCCACTTTCGAGTATTGAGATGAAAGATTATATGGTCATTTCGAATTTGGATTCGTCTATTTCAGACTTGGTGCAGTGATGTGTATGGGGGTAACAGCCGGCGCTTACATTCTTACTCTTTTTGCTGTATGTTCCTTGAATCGTGAAGTTCATTGTGAAATTCAATATAACAAAAAGAAATTTCTTGGTCTGACCAATTTATTATTTTACAGTTGAAATATAGAGAACGAGTTATTGGTTTAATTCTTATATCCCCCTTATACAAGTCGCCTTCTTGGTCCGAGTGGTTTTATAATAAGGTACCCTTTTCAAGCCTTTTCGAGTTTTTATTCATGTTCAATGTCACATATCCATTTTGTAATTGTAGGTAATGTCAAACTTGTTATACTTCTATGGCATGTGCGGTTTGTTGAAAGAGTGCTTGCTTCAGCGATACTTCAGCAAGGTTATGTAGTTTCCATTCTTGGAGCTAATCCGGCTTTCTATGTTGTCTTTTATACTCTTTGTTGACTAGATTCATGAGATTGTTATAACATGCAACAGGAAGTCCGTGGTAGTGCTGAAGTTGCAGAGTCTGATATCGTTCAAGCGTGTCGAAAAGTATGTGTGTTATGTCAAAACTAGTTTGTTTGTCATGTGTTTCTTTCTCTTGTTTTTGGGTTTGTTTGATAAAGATGGTATATCTGTTCTGTCAGTTGCTAGATGAGAGACAGGGCAACAATGTTTTGAGGTTCCTTCAAGCAATTAATAGGTAAATGCTATTCCCATCTCAACCGTTTGTTCGTTCCCTTCGTCCTCGTATGCTGAACTGCAACCTTGTTTCCCCTTTTTGCAGAAGACCAGACATCACCCAAGGGTTGAAGAGGCTCCGGTGTCGTACTCTCATTTTTGTCGGGGACAGTTCACCTTTCCATTCTGAAGCACTTCATATGATATCAAAACTGGATAGAAGATATAGTGCCTTGGTTGAGGTATGACATTCAAAAGATGAATTCTCCAGCAGCAACAACTGCCTAGGCTTAGTTAGTTAAATGATTATAACTGACGGTTGGTTCGTAGGTCCAAGCTTGTGGATCGATGGTAACCGAAGAGCAGCCACATGCAATGTTAATACCTATGGAGTACTTCTTCATGGGGTACGGGTTATATCGACCATGCCAGTTCAATGGCAGTCCACGAAGTCCGCTCAGTCCATCTTGCATCTCCCCAGAGCTCCTTTCTCCAGAAAGCATGGGATTAAAGCTAAAACCTATAAAAACCCGCATTTCTTAAACAACGTCGTCGTCGTCGACCGGACAGGTAGAATTCGAAACGAAGAGGGGATTCAAATGTCGGTCGGTCTGTCTGTCTGTCTCCGTCATTCCAAGTTTTTCTTTTCCAGATTTTGGATTCGATGAAGGGCGTCTGTAGATAGGGAGAGATGCAAGTTTAAAAAAAGAGTGTTACATGGATGATGATGATGGGTAAATAACAACACACTATAATAGGGAGAAAAACATTCATTCTTTTGTAGTCATCAGACATAAAAGAGTTCAATCTGACCAAAGTATATTTATTCATCAATGACATTGAGCTGAGCTGAGCTGAGCTGCTGCTGCTGCTGCTGCTGTTGGTTGTATATATATGTTTTTAATATTGCAATACAGATTGAATGAATGCTAGCTGGGATTCACTGAATAAGCATAAACTTTCGCCGCCCTTGTCCGTGATTCCCGCTCTCGTCCTAAGAACAGTTGTAAGAACATTCATGTGCGGCCCTGGTTGCCTATGATTCCCTTTATTTATGCCGCCTTTGATCATGTCATGGGGCCTGGATATCATCCAGGTTGTTATACACTTCGGGCTAAATTAGTAAATTACCAATAGGTTTTTAAATATTCAATCTTTAACTTTACTATATATATATATATATATATATATATATATATATTTAATAATCACGGGTATATGAAATTATAAAATTAAAATTTATAATATAATAAATCTATAAAATTTATTGTTTTTCTTTTCTTCTAATTTTTACCTTTTAAAAAGTATTTGAATTTTTAAACAAATTTTAGAAAAAACGTTTTGTAAACGGAACAATTTAATATTTGTATTGATAAATACTTTTGGTTTAAAAAGCGACTAAATCATAATAAATAATATTTTAACATAAATCAATTGCTACAAAATTTAAAATTCAATTATCAAATTGTTATAAAATTGAAAGTACAATATAGTATTTTTAATTTTTTTTTTTTTTTTTGATAATGACGTGCATTTTTAACTATAGTTGAATTATGTTTATATTAGTAAAAGTATTTTTATTATAATTAAATTTAAAACGAATTTCTAATTTTTAACTTGATATGATTTTTTTTTTTTTTGTATTATTAAAGGTTTTAAAAAATTACTCGAATTAATTTTAGATAATAAGACAAAAAAGAAAAAAAAAATCTAAATCCAATAATCTGACGGCCCTTCTTCATCGCCGAATACCGAACGCTCGTTACAGTTTCTTTTTTCGACTTATTGGCGGCCGTCGGGTTTCATCGTCGGCGGCTGAGTTGACTGTGTAAACAGCCCCCTGGCCTCTTGGATCGCTGCGAATTCGGTTTAAGTTGGAGGACTGTTTGCGGTGGGCGAGATGGCTGGGATTACGATAGTTTTCGACTTCGATCGGACGATCATTGATGGCGATAGCGATAATTTGGTGGTGACGCAAATGGGCCTCACAGATCTGTTCAATGAGCTTTACTCTTCCTTGCCTTGGAACTCTCTCATGGTTTGGATTTTTCATTTTACATTTTCTACCGTCTCTGTACTTCAGTTCTCACTCATGATTGCTATAGTATAGATGGAATTAGGGAAATGAGGAATTATTCTTATTCCACATGTTATTAGTGAAGAATTTCGAATTTGGCGTTTGTATAATCTTCGACTTATGTTGAATTTACTTTGGCTATGGAATGCTGAGATTGATTTTGATTATTTTAATTTTGATAGGATACCTTGATGGTGGAGCTCCAATCTCGAGGAAGAACTATGAAGGATATTGCTGAATGTCTGGAAGGGGCTGCGTTGCATCCACGAATTGTTGCTGCTATTAAATCAGCTCATTCCGCCGGGTAGCTTTTCTTATCTTTTATGATCAAATTGGTGTAAACCACTTTTTTTCAGGGTCAATATCACTCCTAAACATGTTTTTAATCATTCAAAATCAAATTAATGTTTGTTTTTACACTTTTAAATGTGATTTTCATACCATTTTTGAAGGATTAAAACCATATTTTAGAGTGATTCTGATGACTAACTAGAAGAACATGGAATTGATGTTATCCAGTTGTGACTTAAGGATAATAAGTGATGCCAATCAGTTTTTCATCGAGACAATCTTAGAACATCATGGTGTGTTGGGATGCTTTTCAACTATCAATACAAATCCTACCTTTGTAGATGGGGAAGGAAGGCTTAGAATCTTACCATATCATAATGAATCATCTCCTCATGGCTGCAATTTGTGCCCATCAAATATGTGTAAGGTATTATCACTCAATCACTTGTTGATCTAATCCTGCATTTATATCTTGCTGTATGATTGAAAGGCCAGTTCAATGTCTCTGCTAATTAAAGAAAGCTTTTCTAGGTGCTTTCTAAATTAAACTTGCATGAGTTTTAAGATAGAAGATATGCTATACACTTGCTATTTTTGAATCTGTGAGGACCATGCGTTTCTGGTATCATATCTGGGGGATAGACAGAGCGACCAAAGCCTCCCTTCGTGCTATAGATGAGACATATTATGGAGCAATAACATTTTTTTGTTGCTTTGCTTGGACTTATCATGTTAAGTTAGGTTCTGATGAGTTAGATTACAAGTTTAGTCCATGAACTTGCAATCTCGTGTCTACAAGGTTCTTAAATTTTTAAGTGTTGAACACGTCCTTAAACTCTCTAACACGTCCTTGAAGTTTCAATTTTGGGTCTAATAAGTTCCTGACATAACTGAAAATTTTACAAATTAGTTGATATACTCCTTAAACTCTCAAACACGTCCTTGAATTTTCAATTTTAGGTCTAATAAGTTCTTAACATAACTTCAATTTTACAAATTAGTTGATATACTTTGTCTCATAGGACTCTATCTCTGAATTTTAATCAAACGTTGGATACGTATTTGACACAAAATCGAAGGACTTATGAGACACTTGTTAAAGTTCATAGGGCCTGATAGACACAAACTGAAAAGTTTGGAACTAAACATATAATTTAACGTATTGGTTACATCCCAACCCCACATGGAAACCCATCGAGTTTGGTATGTAGTTCCTGAAAAATGGTAGCTTGGAAGAACATGACTTGCATCTTATGTAAAACCAACTTTCCTCCACCATTCAGTGTATAGAAGGAACTCCTTCATTGTCTTATAGGACTCCATCCCAGAATTTTAAACAAACGTTGGATAGGTTGATGGCGACACAAAATCAAAGCACTTATGAGACACTTTTTAAAGTTCGCAAGGCTTGATAGACACAAACTTGAAGGCTTACTGATTAAATAGACACAGACCAAAAAATTTAGATACTAAATTTATAATTTAACGTATTGGTTACATCCCAACCCCACATGTAAGCCCATCGAGTTTGGTACGTTGCTGAAAATGGTAGCTTGGAAGAACATGACTTGCATCTGATGTCAAACCAACTTTCCTCCACCATTCAGTGTATAGAAAGAACTCCTTCATTGCTTCATTCCTTCATTTGTAAAATATAAAATGCAAAACTATTTACAATGAGGGCTTGAGATTTGCTTGAATACACTAATGAGATTGAACTGCGGATTCCATGCAGGGCCTGGTAATCGATCAAATCCGAGCTTCTAAAAGCGAAAAAAACGAGTTTTTCATATACATTGGAGACGGGAGGGGCGATTTTTGTCCGACCCTAAGACTTGAAGAAGGAGACCATGTGATGCCTAGGAAGCTATATCCTCTCTCCGATCGCATCAACTCCAATCAAACACTCGTGAAGGCTAAGATCAATGAATGGAGTGACGGGAACGAGCTAGAGAAGATCTTACTCCAGCTCGTAGATGTAAGATAATTCAATCAACAAGACATTCCTTAGTCATAAAATTAAAAATTTAATATTTAATAGGAAAGTGGACGATTATACTTACATTTTAAGCCATTAAGGAAGAATAATTGGGAATTTTTTCTGTAACTTTTTCCATCTCTACCTTATTTTGATTCTATTCTTTCTCCAACACAGCATATATAGCATAAAGTTGGAGGGACAATTTCTTTTTTAGTGCATTTTTTTAATTAAAAAACTATCTTATTTTAATAATTAGTTCTTAAGAGGCGTAATCAAGGTTTATCCTCTTGTGTTTGAAATAACTATTTATAGCATCTATTTTTTAAGAACAAAAAGTACAATTTTAGTTATTCAAAACTGTTCTTAATTTTTATTGCCATTTTGATATAAAAAATAAATTTCTTTTAGATTACTTTTGAACAACTTTCTATTTATTTTTGGATTTTTTTATTATTGTTCAATTTTAATTATTGTTCAAAACTGTCTTGTTCATTTTTAATTTTTATGGACATTGACTTTCTTTATTGTCTATTTAATTTATATAATACCAAATTAATTGCATTTAGACGGCTGCAAACGAAATTTAAGAGGAATATATATATAGCATATAAAGACATTTATAATTTTTAAAATGATTTTTTATATTATTAAAGAATCTCCGTGTCACACGTCAATAAATATATTTAATTTGTATAATTTTTCTTTTTAAAACTCTTTGTGAACACGACTTTCCACAATTGTATGATATTGTCTACCTCCTAGCTTTACTTTGGACTTCCCCAAAATATCTTATATCAATGAAGAGAGTATCCTTTGATTATAAATTTAAATCATTCCCTATTACCAGATGTGTGACTTTCATCATCCAACACTCTCCACTTTTAAGATTTGTAGATAATAAATGTACAACTCATTTATTTTGTTTTAATATTTTTTTTTCTACTCATCGATGAGTTGAGCTGTCTTGTTCGTTTCAATTTTTAAACATGAACGAACCTTTTTGGAATTGGTTAGTAATAGTTGCCCTGAGACCTATCCAAACTCAGTGACGTTCTATTCCTGATGTCCAATCCCAAATATTTTTGTAAATGATTTCAAAACTATTGTTCAAATAAAAGTGAGCAATCGTAACTTGAAATGATACGACAATGATCCCAAATATTATTGTTCATTTTACAACCGACTTATTTAGAATATTTATAAAATAATACATATAATATTACTATTTTTGAAAAAATAGCTGTTAGATGAAAGTGTCTCACATTAATTAAGTTAAAAGAATGGTCGTGAATTTATAATCTAAAAATATACTCTCCATTTGTCTAATATGGTATCAGAGTCATGTCTTTAACCATGCCAATAGATTGACAAATCTTAAAATATAGAACAACTAATGAAAAGAAATAAAAGTAATGAAAGAAGCGGAGTCGTGGACTTATTTGACTGGTCTGACACGGTTCGAGCCAAATTCAGAAACGCTTCCGTCTTCATCTTCCCTTCCAATTCTGTTTCTTGAATCACAATCGATTCTCCAAGACTATTTGATTAATCTCTTCTTTCCCCCCCTAAGTTGATGATCAATGGCGAAGAAGAGAGAACAAAGAGAGGTGAGCACGATCATGGATGGGGTCATAGAGGCTATGCCTCAATACGCTAAGGAGCTGGTTGCCGGCGGGGTTGCCGGTGGAATTGCGAAGACCGTCGTCGCTCCACTTGAGCGTGTCAAGATTTTATTCCAGGTAATTTCTTCTCAGCATTCTCTGCCCTTGGTAGTGATTGTTCTTCATTTTGGTTGTGCTGTGGAGTTGAATTGTTGATCGTGTTTGTTCTTGGATTTGTTTTAGTTTGTTTGCTTTAGGAATTTGTTTGTTTTCGTCTTGTAAGTAATTTAATCCTGATTTGTTGGGAGTTGAGCTCAATTTAATGTTACTCCTTTTCGAAATTAGAATGTATATTAGTTGTCTAATGGGTGCATCTTGAGGAATTTCGTTTTCGTGTTTATGAATGTATCTTTTCCTTTCCTTATTCTTTATCTTCTTTGTTCTCTCTTGGAAATAAGAATGAGATTCTACAAGAATGAGGTGCTGTGCTGCATGTTCTTTCGGATTTTAGCTTATAATTTACCCAGAATAATGTTAGCTTAAACATTAAATCTAATCAATAAAAGATGGAACTCCCATTAGTTTTTCAGTCCTTAATGTGGAAAAAGAAAAATGCGGTCGAGTCCATAACTTCTTCGCATTTTACTTGATAGACAGGAAAAGAACTCCTGCTGGCTTTACTTGTTAAACAGGATCCTTTTTGTTTCTTTTGTTTTTGAATGACAAGAACTTAAAAAATTTATGTAATAAAGTAAAAGATGCTCAAAAAGAGGGGAGCTTAAATTTAGGATCAGAGAGATAACAGAGAAACTCTCCTAAATTGGTTGAAGTAAAGAATAATGGCTTGAACTCTCTCATCAATGGAATATCCGGAGGAACTCTTTCTAGCAATTTTCTCCTCTAACATCTAAAAGGACTTCTGTTCCTTAAAAACAATCAGTCCCATAAAATGAGAAATACATAGTTAAATTGGTAATGCTCTAAGGAACTATTTGAGGCATCTAATAGCTACAAATCCATCATTTCTCCTAAAGAACTTGACTTTTGTAGGATTTTTCGGTTTTTAAAGTAGCTTGGCCTTTCCTTGAGGAAGAATGCTTGATCTACCTACCAAAATATTATTCATCGATTCACTGGAGAAAGATCCCTAGGGTCTAGATGCCAAACTCTTGATTCCAAGCTCATGGCTTTCAAGGGAATTCTTCAAAATATTGATTCCAAGCTCATGCCAAACTATTGATAAAAAATTTTCCCCAAAATATTAGGCACAGTTTAGGATTTTTCATGTTTTGGATGTAAATGTTTTTGTTATATTTTAAATAATGTAGAGTTGATGTTGAATTTATGATCCTTTTTTCATATTGGAAATTTTCTACTTAGTCCTGTGGATTCTGAAGTCCATCCAATTTTTTCACGGTAAAATATTTTCCTAGAAGTTAACAACATCTGTACTTATTTGTCAACTTGTTAGACCAGAAGAGCAGAGTATCAAAGCATAGGATTATTTGGATCTATCAAGAAGATTACAAAGACTGAAGGTTTTCTGGGGTTCTACAGGTGGGTACATAAAGTGCTATTCTTTTTTGTGCCAAGGCTCCACCACCACCCCCCCGCAAATGACATATTGGTGGATTTTATCACAGAGGCAATGGTGCTAGTGTCGCTCGGATTGTTCCTTATGCAGCGCTGCATTACATGGCTTATGAACAATATCGAAGATGGATTATCCTTTCTTTTCCAAATTTTGATAGAGGCCCCGTACTTGATCTTTTGGCAGGATCATTTGCTGGAGGAACTGCAGTGATTTTAACTTATCCTCTGGACTTGGTTCGGACTAAGTTAGCTTTCCAGGTGAGCTGCCCCAAAACAAAAGTATATATAAAATTGTAGACTTCATTTGGCCTAGTTAGTCAGTCAAGAGGTCAATGGAGACGACCGTTTCATTTTAACTAGATTCATGAAAACTATCTTTTAGTGCCATAGCCTTACTCTCTTCCCCCAAGAATAGAATATGAAAATAGTATCATTGAACTTTGCTGCGAGTAAACAGGTGAATTTCCTTACACTACCTTCCTGTGGAAACATTCTAACCTAGTTAAATCTGATATTGCAGGTTGTCTGTCCGTCAAAGTCGAGTATTAATGGACTAGTAAGCCCTGAGCATGTATATAAAGGGATTTCTGACTGTTTCTCAAAAACTTTTAAAGAAGCTGGACTTAGAGGTCTCTATCGTGGTGTTGGTATGCATTTTTAATCTCCTCATATAAGTACTAGCATCTACTTTTCTGGGGCTTAGTTTTCCAATTAATACCGAGTGTCATTGCCAGCCCCATCACTTTACGGGATTTTTCCATATGCTGGTTTGAAGTTCTACTTCTATGAAGAAATGAAGCGACATGTACCAGAAGAACACAAGAAAAATATTATGGTCAAGCTGGTATGTGGGTCGGTTGCAGGCCTGTTAGGTCAGACCTTTACATACCCTCTTGATGTGGTTAGGAGGCAAATGCAGGTAATAAGTTGCACCAACATTCATGGAATAACTTAAAATGTTTAAATTCTGAACCATATGAAACCTTTGTGAAAATTTGCTCGAACAGGTCCAACGCGTACTAGCGTCCACAAATGCGGAGATGATGGGAACATTTGAAACCCTTGCTTTGATAGCTAGAAAGCAAGGTATTAAACAGTTGTTTTCAGGCTTAAGCATCAACTACTTGAAGGTGAGAATATCAATTCCTTTACCTGGTTTCCTTCCACATCATTCCATCACAGTGTAGTGTCTAAGCTAAGTTGTGTACTTCTCAGGTTGTGCCATCAGTAGCAATTGGGTTTACGGTTTATGATGTAATGAAAACATACCTAAGAGTTCCATCCCGAGACGAAGCTGTGGTAGAAGTGGTAACAAATAAAAGAAACATCCAATCATCCTCTCTTAATACATAACAAGTATTCTTTCTTTCCCATTAAAAACCATGGCATATTCTAGTATTAGAATCCATCACTTTAGCCTTGAAATTATTTGTATATGCATTCTTTCAGTCTGTTTAGAGCGCATGCTAGTTACAAGAATCTATGAAGGAATATCGTTAAGGCCGAAACATTTGTTATTTAGATGTCTCCAAAAAGTAGTAACTGTCATAAATGTAGAATTAGCACAAGGTGTACATATAGCTGGATGTCTTGTGTGAAGATTTATGGTTTTGATTGAAGGTAACTTCTAGTATATACGTTGATTCTTCATATATTTTATATTGTTCGGAAATGGTTGCCTCCCACCAAGCCCTCCCTTCACAGGGTCGTGGGAGTTTAGATAAGAATCACTGATTTCTCTACTTTCTATTACTAGTTACCCTTGATATTCCATAAACGTTTCAAAACTTGGACGTAAATTGGGACTTTGAATAGTGTGATAGTGATCTAGAATAAAAATTTGGATCATCATACTATTCTTTGTCATTGCTACACTATGCTAGGTACCGATTTCTATCCTAAATTCTAAAAAGATTTCTAAGTATAAGAGTAATTTAGAAATTGATGGTAAAGTTCAAAGGTAATTTTTATTATTTAGCCTAACGTCCAAACAGGGAGTTAGGATTGCACTTTGTGAAATAGATTGGACTAAGTTTCTTTGAACTCGTAGTTAGTTTCACAGGTCAACAGCGCCAGCAATCGAAATGGGAACGAAATCAATGTCATTTGAATCTATTTTTCTTTATATTCTAATTGTGAAGTCTAATTCAAATTATGCAAGCAAACAAACACTAAAATGAGTAGGGATGTAACACAATAATTTTAACTTTGAAAAATATTAATGGTCTACAGATACAAGTTCCTGTTGTTCATAATAAAGTATTATAGATGGCCTTTCTTATTTCTGAATAAGAAGGTCCCTTCTACCTCTTCTGTGTTGAACAAGGCAAAAGGCACTATAAGCTCATGCTACAATGATAAATTAGAAAAAGTGTAAAGTCAATACAACAGAATCTAGTCCCCTATAATACACTAGTTTGAACTGTTTGCTGAAGTTTATCATTATGTAGCCAGAGTCCTGATGGTTTCATTTCTGAGATATGGCACCGTAAAGGTTTTCTCATAGAAAAAGGAAGGAGCATTACCAGCCTTTTTTAGCCTTGTAACCTTTTGCTTGCTTCACCTTAATGTTTTCTGCAAAGAGAACCCTTATAGATGAAGTTGGCTTACAGATATTAGTGCACAATTCTCATTGGATGCAAATCTACCTGACAGAAATAGTATCAGACACTGTGGCTAACCTGGAAATCAACCCATTAATTCTCATTCCTTTATGTTCCCCACACCTAACTCGTCCCTTCACTGGCTGCCTGGTGCAGTAGAGCCCATTGCCTAAATCAACACCACACTTTCTTTCAAGGCTTGAGTTGAGGTCTGGAGAATTGTCTTGTGCTATCAGAATGGATTCCTGTTTTGATGTGGGCGAAGTTTGCTGCTTGTACTGGCTTGTAATCACATCGAGTAAAACTTTTGGTTTGGCTTCTTGACAAGATGTAAGAGTTGATCTTCGAATTCTTTGCCCTTTGTGTTCTTCACACCGTTTCCTTCCTTGAACTGGTGTTCTTCTACATGGAGAGCCATCGTATAGAACAATTCCACAAATTGGAAGAAAATTTCCCTTATTAGGAAAGGAATCTTGAACTGAGAGCTCTTCTGTGTTATAGGAAGTCTCAGCATTGCTACCAGAGAAGTCTGTGTCACCATATATGGTTGCTCCTGCATATGAGTTCTTCAGTAACCCATTAACTTTCATCCCTTTATGTTCAGCACACCTCTTCCTTCCTTCAACTGGGGGCTTCCTACAAACTACGCCATACCCTATGACCACTCCGCAACTACTGCTATCAGCCCCACTAACATCATCAGTGTTCACAACTAGTCTAGGCCGAGATCTGCTGAAGTGGAGAATGCGAGAGAAGAAACTGCTCCTCTCCTCACCATATTCACCTGTTTTGTTTTCTGTTGGAATTGGCTTGCTTGTTTTAATTTTGATGCCCATCTGCTTCTGTCTAAATGGCAGAAGCTTCCTGGTAATGATGGTAAATTTCTTAGTTTGTGAAGCAATATCCTCGAGTTTTTTTAGTACATCATTATGTCGTCGTGCACCATTACCAGATGTATTCCATGCATAGTCAAATGTTTTAAGCAGTTGAGCTTCTGTCATCTGAGCATCCCTCTTGTTTTTCATCTGTCAAAGCAACAAAAGAAATTAGGAACATTGAATGGAAAAAACCACAAAATACAAACTTCCTTTTATACTCAAACACATTGGTACACGTAGATGTTTGCAATCTTGGATCAGGCCAACAAGTGTAACAGCCCAAGTCCACCACTAGTAGATATTGTTCTCTTTGAATTTTCTCTTTCGGGTTTTCCTTCAATGTTTTTTAAAATGCGTCTGTTAGGAAGAGGTTTCCACACCCTTATAAGAATGTTTTGTTCTCCTCCCCCAACTGATGTGGGATCTCACGATCCACATGTCTTGCGTCCTTACTGGCACACCACCTCGTGTCTACCCCCATCGGGGCTTAGTTTCCTTGCTAGTGCATCGCACGGTGTCTGGCTCTGATACCAACTGTAACAGCCCAAGCCCACCGTAACAGATATTTTCCTCTTTAGGCCTTCTGCTCGAGGTTTTTAAAACGCGTCTTTTAGGGAGAGGTTTCTACACCCTTATAAAGAATGTTTCGTTCTCCACCAGGGATCTCACCGCAAGAGCAAGAGTAAGGTATATACTAGCAGTACAAAAAAAATTAGCATTCAGAATCACATTTCACAACACTCTTTCCAGTTCACGATAATTGATCCAAGCTTTCCCTATTTTCAAACAGCCACCTACTGTGACTAAATGCTCTAACCCCAGTTTGACTGCTCATTGATGCAGATTCAGTGGGGAACTGTGTTCTTCTAGAGCACTCAAAAGACACTGCGAACGACCAACATTCAGATGCCAATAAAAGAATTGCTATCACATACATGCTAATGCAGTTGATAGCCATTTCCCCAAGGCATTACAAGAGCCAGATGAAACTATTTGATTCAGGTATATATAGAAACAAAACAAACTTACTTACCGGAGCCCATCTATATAAAATGGAGTATCCTCTGGTGAACATTTCCTGAAACAAACCAGGTCCCTTCTCGAGGGGAATAACTTTACAGTCAACGAAACACAAATAGCCATTGCCCAAATGAGAACCTGAGCGACCATAGTGCTGTAGTCGAGTTCTAACATTATCGGCTTCGCCGATGTAGACGACAACTATCCAGTCTGCATCTAGTTTAGCTATCTCACGGCCCAAACCAGAGCTAGATACAGCTATCCCAAGCTCATACAGTCCAGGACCTGAAACTTTAGGAAGATTGTGAATTCTGTACCTCTCTGCACCTTCCTTCCCCAACGAATAGTCTTCCCAATCAGAAGGCGCAACAAGAATCTAAGTCACCACAACAAGCAATACAATGAGGGAAATGTGTATAAGTTTGGTTGCGATGCTTACAAGAGGCACTGCTTTGGTTACTACTAATAACAAGCAAATCAGTCGCGAAAACAGTGACTTAGATTCAAATCAAGATTTGAAAAAGAAAACTATGAACATCTCCGCCTGGACCAAATACAGAGGAACACCGATTCAAGCTGCTTCATAACTATACTAAAAGAATGCTATAGCTTCGATTTCAAGCTCATTTCTATAAACAGGAAGGAACTCACCAAGTTTGGAAGAGAGAGAGAGAGATCGAACCTCCCATTTGGAGAAATTGGAATCGTGTTTGGTGCGTTTACAGTTTTCCCTCTTCAACCTCGTCGAAGAAAACTCAGCCACCATCGCTCTCGGCGGTTAGGAAAGAGATAATAATTACGTCGTTTTGAAGCGAAGCCTCGATCTGCTGTACATGGTGAAAGACTTCGACCAATATGGAAACTATTTGAAATTGGAAAGATCCGTTGCCTTTTATTGATAATCGCCGCTCCTCTGCCGTTCGTCGGAGATCGGAAAAAGGCAGTGCAATCATGAATGGGAATGGTTAGGGCTAATTCGTAATTTTTTAATTCAATTCAAGCCTTAAGTTTGTCGGATCAAAATAACTCAATATAACCTATTATTTTTATTTTTGGGTGAAATTACTCCCCTTAATACTTTATAAAATTTTAAAATATACTAACATGTTTTAAAATTAATCAACCCACCCTAGATTTTAAAATTTTAAATCTTAGTTTTTGAGAATGAACTGACACTTTTTGTGGAATCAACGATGGAGAGGGAATAAAGTACACTCTTTGTTCAGACACTTCAGTAGCTTTTGATTACACTTCGAGGCATTCTTTATTCGATATTTAAAGATTCTATTGACATGACATACCATGTTAGAAATCATGAATCTCTAGAATGATATGATATTATCCAGTTTGAGGATTCTATTGATATAACATACCATATTAAGAATCACAAATCTCTACAATGGTATGGTATTGTCCACTTTGAACGCTCTCATGGCTATACTTTAGGCTAATGTGAACTCACTCCCAATAATCCTCGTCCGTCCGTTCCCATTCCCAACATTTGGCAGGTTTGTTCTGTAATTGTGTCTGAACTCTGTAGTGCGAATATGGCGTTGTGTTTGTGTTGCGTGGCTTCAACAACCAAAACAATTGCCCAAATGTTGCCTCAATTCACTCTTATTTCTTCTTTAACCCTCCTTTTCTCCACCATTTCCATCGCTGATTCCACTTGATTTCAAATTTGATCCTCAAGGTTGGGAACTGAACTGGGTTTGTGGATATGGAGGAGGGTCATCGGGATGTGGCTGGGAAAGTGGTGGTCGTCGCCATCAAAGCCACCTCGAAGGATGTTTCGAAGGCTTCTCTCCTTTGGGCTCTCACTCATGTTGTTCTGCCTGGAGATCATGTTAAGCTCCTTGTCGTTATCCCTTCTCATCACTCAAGTAAGATTCCTTTGCTTTTTCTATGACTGCTTAATATCATTGTGCATCAAAATTCTTAGTGTTCTTATGTATGTTCTTGGCCCAAGATGAAAGATGGGTAGCTCGATGATTCTTTGAATTCCTCATAATCAAATGTTCAAGAAAAGATTGTAACTAAAACTTGAGGACCTTGGTTAAAATGGGATGCCAATTGGCACTGTTCGAGAGGATTGTCCAGTGGAACGACTACCTCACGGGTGATAATGTCAAAATATTTGGTTGACCAATTTATTTGGGAGTAGGGACCAAGTGTCCTCATTGGCACACCGTCCGGTATCTAGCTATGATACCATTTGTAACAGCCCAGACCACCACTAACAAATATTGTCCTCTTTGGGGCTTCCCCTCAAGATTTTAAAATGTGTCCACTAGGGAGAGGTTTTCACACCCTTATGAGAAATGTTTCGTTTCCCTCTTCGACTGATATGAGATTTCACAATCCACCTCCTTAAGGACCTAGCGTCCTTGCTCGCACACAGCCCGATATCTAGCTCTAATATCATTTGTAACAGCCCAAGTCCACCACTAGTAGATATTGTCTTATTTAGGGCTTCCCCTCAAAATCTTAAAATGCGTCCACTAGGGAGAGGTTTCCGCACCCTTATAAGAAATGTTTCGTTTCTCTCTCCAACTGATATGAGATCTCACAATCCACCTCCTTAGAGACCCAACATCCTTGCTCGCGCACTTCCTGGTATCTGGCTCTAATACCATTTGTAACAACTCAAGCCCACCGCTTGTAGATATTGTCCTCTTTAGGGCTTCTCCTCAAGATTTTAAAACGTGTTCACTAGTGAGAGGTTTCCATAAGAAATGTTTTGTTCCCCTCTCCAACCGATGTGGGATCTCACAATCATTTTTCTTTTGTATTTTTCTTGATCTTGAAATTTCATCCTTAAGACTCTTAATAAAATCCGGAAAGTTTAGATAAATGGATGCAAGGATTTTCTCGACTTACCAGCAACTGTGCGATCGGTCATCTAAGAACCCCATCAAGAACTTCTTCAGATCGGAAGGATGACATTGTGCATTCATGTTCTCAAATGGTACAGCAGCTTCATGGTGCATATGATCCACTGAAGGTATGTTCAACAACTTATGTTCCTTGTTGCCTACAAATCCTTTTAAGTTTTGGAACTTTTTTGCAGATAAGAGTCAGAATCAAAGTTCTTTCTGGTTCGGCTCGGGGTACGGTGGCTACCGAAGCTAAGAAAGCTCAATCAAACTGGTTGATATTGGATAAGTAATAGATATCATGTAAAATTTATCTCTATTATATGCATCCATTCATATGAACTGCGTGCATTTTAGGCATCTTCATTCTGTGCTTTGGGCAGACATTTGAAAGATGAAAGGAAAAACTGTTTGAAAGAGCTGCAATGCAATGTTGTTCTATTGAAGAACTCTCAGCCTAAGGTTCTTCGTTTGAATTTGATGGAATCCCCTAAAAGGAACACTAGAGAAGCTTTGATATCATCACATGAATTAGATATATCTCAGAAGTGTCTTAAAAGCTATTTCGATGAATCAACCAAGTTTAGCGCTCGTGACTCGACTCCCGACGGTACTCCTGATGTAGTGTCTCCTCTTAAAGTAACGGATATTGGAACATCATCGATATCGAGCTCAGACGTGGGCAGTTCATATTTGTTCTCTGGGATTTGTGGTAGCTTGAGAAATTTGTCTGGATCAGAATGTGATTCTGAGAGTGAAAAGCAAACTCCCTCAGTTTCATATTTCCAGCAATATGCTATGAAAGAATCACAATATGTTCATCATAGACCTCCGGTTTCGACACGCCAAGATCTGGTCAAGAAAACGTCTACTCGTTCTCTAGAGCTTAGCACTGATGTGGTGAATCGAAATAGCAATATTAGCTCGAGCAGAAACATAAGGAACATGGTTTTGATATCCCAAAAATCGCCTCTTGGCCCTCCTCCACTCTGTTCAATGTGTCAACACAAGGCCCCTGCATTTGGGAATCCTCCAAGATGGTTCACTTATGCAGAACTTGAAGTTGCTACAAGTGAGTTTGCACAAACAAATATTTTGGCTGAGGGTGGATTTGGATCCGTGCACCGAGGCATCTTACCCGATGGGCAAGTCGTTGCTGTCAAGCAATATAAACTGGCTAGTACTCAGGGAGATCAAGAATTTTGTTCGGAAGTCGAGGTCTTAAGTTGTGCGCAACATCGAAACGTCGTGATGCTCATTGGATTTTGTGTGGAGGGCGGAAGAAGGTTGCTTGTTTATGAATATATTTGCAATGGATCTCTTGATTCCCATCTTTATGGTAATGTCTTATCTCAAAACACGTTCTTGTCTTGTTGGCATTGCAATAGCACACAAGCAACTCAAATAATATGTCCTCTTTTTGAAGTTCATGGCGTCGTTTACACGAGATTTTTCCTGTCGTAGTTAATCGTGTAGCTCATCTTCGGTTTGATGACCTGTGCTCGGTCATATCGACCGCTATGTTCAATCTTTGCAGGAAGAAATCGCGACCCACTGAAATGGTCTGCACGACAAAAGATTGCAGTTGGAGCTGCTCGAGGTTTGAGATACCTTCATGAAGAATGTAGAGTTGGCTGTATTGTACACCATGATATTCGACCAAACAATATTCTCCTTACTCATGATTTCGAGCCACTAGTGAGTCAAGGCTCTCTCTATGGTCTCATGAAATTCTTACTTGTCACTAGTTGGAGAGGGGAACAGACCATCTCTTATACGGGTCTGGAAACCTCTCCCTAGTAGACGCGTTTTAAAATCTTGAGGGAAAACCCAGAAGAGAAAACCCAAAGAGGACAATATCTGCTAGCGGTGGGTTTGGGCCGTTACAATCCCGTTTGCTTAACATGGTTTACATTTTTGTATTTGCATGGTCTATCTGTCATATAAGAACATTATGGAAGTGTGCATCTTTTTTGGCCGTTCTTTGGTTCATAGTTCAGGTAAAAGATGCGTGTAACATCCCCAACCCACGACTAGTAGATATTGTTCGCTTTGGCCCATTACGTATCGACGTCAGCCTCACAGTTTTAAAACGTGTATGTTAGGGAGAGGTTTCCATACCTTTATAAGAAACATTTCGTTCTCCTCTCCAACTAATGTGGGATCTTACAATGCACAACTTTATTTTCGAGTTGTAGGTAGGAGATTTTGGGCTGGCAAGGTGGTCGCCGGATGGCGACCTAGCAGTAGAAACCAGAATCATTGGTAGATTTGGGTAACCATTTTTCTTCCTTGTTCATTATACAAACTAGCAATCCAAAACATTTAATTGCAAATACATTGCTTGCTTAGCTATCTGGCTCCAGAGTATGCACAGAGTGGCCAAATCACAGAGAAAGCTGATACATACTCATTTGGTGTAGTCTTGCTGGAACTCGTGACGGGGCGCAAAGCGATCGATTTAAATTGTCTCAAGGGCCAGCAGTGCCTCACTGGATGGGTAAGTCAAGTCTCACAAGTGGCAAATTGTGATATCCCACATTAGTTTGGGAGGAGAACGAAACACCCTTTATAAGGGTGTGAAAACCTTTCCCTAGCAAACGCGTTTTAAAGCCTTGAGGAGAAACTTGAAAGGGAAAGCCCAAAAAGGACAATATCTGCTAGCGGTGTGTCTGGACCGTTACATGTTTTGAGTCACGACTCAGTAACACAATTTGCCTTACCTACATGTCACATTATTCAAGTTCCTTTCCTTTTCTGATTCAAATTCATGTTTTCTGATCCATTTTTCCTTACATTTCATGTCGGGATCAGGCACAAAACCTGTTGCGTAAAGATGCAATCTCCGAACTAGTAGATCCATGCTTGAGGAACTGTTATTCGGACGAGGAAGTTCACCGCATGCTGCAATGTGCTTCCTTGTGCCTCAAGCACGATCTGTACGTAAGACCGCGTATGTCTCAGGTAGGATTCGGCTCATTCAGGCAATCACTGATGTTTCCAACTATATGATATACTTAGCACAATCTCAAGCTAAACTCCCATTCATCCAACTTGAGTTGCAATGCATTGTCAAAGTGTGTGTTTTTACTACCCTTTGACGGCGTTTCCCTTGTCGTAGGTGCTTCGGGTTTTGGAGGGCGACGTCGTTTTGTAAACCAGCAGCCAAGCCATACCCAGGAGAAAGCTTGCAGGAAAACTTTGTAGTCTTGTATCATAGGTTAATTAGGCTGATATAATATAAATGGATGGCCTTATTAGAACTTAGAACTCAAGGGCTTATGAGAACTTTGTAGTCAAGTAGTGAATTTGATGGCGGGTTTTCGTTCTTGCTACTGGTTTGGAAATAACCCGTTAAGAGCAGTTGCAAAGTTGGAAAATGGTCGTTATTAGAAACCACGACTCTCCATACTTTGAGTATAAGCTCTCATGGCTTTTCCTTTGGTTTCTTTCTAAGGCCTTATTTCAATGGAGGTGTATCTTTACTATAAACCCATAACGTGAGATCGCACATCGATTGGAGAGAGGAAACAAGTAGCAACGAAGACGTTGGGCCTTGAAAAGGGTGAATTGTGAGATACCGTGGGCTTGAGTTGTTATACATAATCAACCCCTTCATCGACTAGTTATCAGGTCGATCATGAGTTTATAAATAAGGAATACATCTCTATTACGATAAACCTTTTTTGGGAAACCAAAAGCAAAGTGGATAATATCATACTATTGTGGAGATACTTACAAATGGACGGTAAACGATTAGACAAAGGAGTAGTCTTGAGTCTAATAGCATTTGTATGATCGGGATTTTCTCTTTATAAGTAATTAAAAAATCATTTGGAAGCAGCCAACTAGTTGTATTGTTTTTTTATAATAAAAATATAATAATGTAATTTAATATATCCCATGATATTGAAAGTAACAATTCTTTAGCCTACCATCATTCAAACAATATGCTTTCCTGCCTGAATTATAGTTACATAATACAATATTATAATATTATTTATATATAAACAACTAATAATGCTACTCCCACTTCCTCAATTATCATTTCTCCCCAAAATAAATAAATAAATAAATAAATAAAATTATTCTCATAATGGGATCATAATCATGTTATTTTCTTTTTCCTTTTAAAAGTAAAATTTTAAAAAATTTAAAAAATTATATTAAACTTTATGCTCTTAAATAAAGTGACAAATTATTTGTAGACGGTTTATTTTATGGACATGAAAGGCTCACTTATTTGGACAGTTTTAAGGTATCGTCTTAATTGAAAAAATAATTTAACGAACTAAAAAAATATTATTTTCAAAAACAAATTATTTGATTAAATTAAAAACCATAAGAAATTATTTAATGTTTGTGAATGTGACCTGTGCTCAAACAATGTCCGTTCTTTCAACCACCTTTTTCCACGTGTAATAACTCCACATTTTTCACTTTATATTATAAATAATTTTAATATTATTATTATTATTTGATTCATCAATATTATAATCCAACCTGAAATAGTTAAAGAAAATGAAAGTTATTATTTATACCAACAATATACACAGTCATATGAATTTTATAGTTAAATATGCTTTGGTTGAAGTAATTTTATGTTAGGAATTTTCATGAAAACAAAATATGTTGGAATGACTCGTGCGGGTCAGTGGGGATAGTCTTCACTCTTAACAAGCAAAAAATAGGTAACGTGATCATGTTGTAGGGCTAAACCCTAAAAATTAATGATAGCTCGGGTTTATATTTTATTTTGGCTTTTGAATATCTTAAACTTATATATATTATTTTAGTAAGCTAAAATTTAAATTTCATATTAATTTCGAATCAAAATGAAGCCTATATATCCATAATTAGTCAAAAAGTTATTCCTATTTATGATGCTGCCAAAATGAGTGTGACCTAAACCATCTAAATTTAATTATTTAAATAAAAAAAAAAAAAAAAAAAAAAAAAAAAANACTTCAACTTGTCTTCCATAATAAAATGGAAATAAAACCCATTTGCTTAAGAATCTTTTGTCACTTGGTACCTCCCTCCATTATATATATATATATATATATATATATAAAACAATTGGTTTAAATTGGAAATAGTAATAAATTTCTATATATTATATTTGTGGTTCAAAAATTGAATAAAATTAAAAATAAATAAATAAATATTTAAAGAATATATGGGTTAAGTAATAATAAAAGAGAATAATTATTAAGAGAGAATAATTAAGTAGAAATTATATAAAATAAAATGGGCATTGACTTTTGGTAAAACACAAAAGAAATCTTTTAGGTTCTGAATTTTATATTTAACAGAAAAAAAAAAAAACTTTAAGAAAGCAATGTATAATTAAACATTAATGCCAAGAATTTTCTTCTCTCTCTTTTTTTTTTTTTTTTTAATTTATATTTTATAAGAAGAATCTTATTCACATAATAAAATAAAAGGGAAAATTTATTTGGATTCTTAAATTTTAAACCCATTTTTGCTCTGAGAAATTTTGAATTTTCCCAAAATAAAAAAGAAATTAAAAATAATAAATAAACAAAGAAAGTTAGTCATGAAACAATATGGAAATTTCTTTTTAGCTATAATTTTTATAGAATAGTTTCTAAGAAACTTTTCCATAATATTTTCTTTATATTTTATTATAAGTGATTATTATTATTTATATGACTAATAATATCGATCTATTAATAATAAATAAAATAAAATTAACGTTATATATTCTAGAGAAATTAGTCAACATTAAGAACAAATGTCCATTCTTTTAATAATAACAAATGTCACCTATAAAGATTTTAAATTTTAACCTCAATGATAGAGAAATGTTAGTTTTACTGTTGAGATATGTTCATGTTGACAAAAAAAAAAATCTTAATTTTAAAAACATAATGATATTTGACTGCGGTTTACTCGAGCAGATTTGAACTTTTCATGGCCCATGATATGCAATGATCCCTAAAGGAGGGGTAATTTCCTAAATGAGAGGGAAACTAATGATGTTGTTTAGAGAGTTGCAAGTATGAGTCAAAGAAAAAATTATGAGAATCCAAAGAAAAGATGGGTGTGGTGTGGTGTGGTGTGGTTCCACTAAATTTCCTATGAAATTGCTCATCACCCATCAACTTTAAATCCTTTCAAACTTTTTCCATTTCTTCACGTTATCCTTAAATACTAATCGGGTCTATGTATTTTCGATACGGGTTTTTTTAATTCCTCTCCTTTTAGCTTTTGCACGTTTTGATCCAATCATTTGATTTTTATGTGCAAAATTTAACATAAATTTTATAGTAGGTTCACAGAAGTATATGTTTATGAGATCTCATATCGGTTGAAAAGAAAAACGAAACATTTCTTATGAATGTGTGAAAACTTCTCTCTAGTAGATGCGTTTTAAAATGATGAGACTAACAATGATACCTAATGGGCCAAAACGAACAATATTTGCTAGTGGTGAGCTTGATTATTACAAATAATATCAGAGTCAGACATCGGGCGGGCGTGTCAGCTATACACAGAACCCAGGGTTGGTAAGTTAGTGTGAGAATCCGAGAGAGAGAGAAATGATAGATTTTTTTAATATGGTTAAACCCAAGTTGGGGAAAGGAAAAAGGTTGTAAATAAATGGCATCCAATCACCCTCTTCTCTTATGCATCCATTATTTTGTCTATAACCCACCTCTCCTCTCCTCTCCTCTTCATCATATAAACCACACCAATTTATCACTTATTTTGCTGCTCTCCCATTTCTCTCCTCCTCGACACTTTGTTTTTTTTCAACTTTTTTTAGGGTTTTCATCATAGTAAGAGGCAAAAGATTTCAAGTGTGGGTGAAAAAACATGGGCAGGAAATGCTCACATTGTGGCAACATAGGTCACAATTCAAGGACTTGCACCAACTTTAGACCCTCAATCACACCCAATTTCAACGTTGGAAGCGGCTTAATTAGGCTCTTTGGAGTTCATCTTGATTCCTCTTCTTCTTCTTCTTCTTCTTCTTCTTCTTCCTCTTCTACTACTTCTTCTTCAAGTGCTGCTGCTTTCGCCATTAAGAAAAGCTTTAGCACCGATTGCTTGTCGTCGTCGTCGTCGTCGTCGTCTTTCTCTACTTCTCGAATTCAACTCGATCATAATCTTGAACCTTCCAAGTCTGCCAATGGCTACCTCTCTGATGGCCTTCTGAATGGAGACCAAGAAAGGAAGAAAGGTAAGGTTTTTATCATTTGGGTCTCTTCAAAATTCAATCTTTTTGTGTTTTCTTTGATCAAGTTTTGATTTTTAGCCTTTTTCCTTTCTGGGTTTTCAATGTTTTGAGGATTGGAGGCTTTTTTTTACTTGGGTTTTGGTGGTTGAATGATCATACCCTTAATTTTAAGCATAATAATCATATTTTTTCGGGATGAACTGTTCTTAGGGGTTCCATGGACAGAAGAGGAGCACAGAATATTCCTAATTGGGCTTGAAAAGCTTGGAAGAGGAGATTGGAGAGGCATCTCGAGAAACTACGTTACCACGAAAACTCCGACCCAAGTGGCTAGTCATGCTCAAAAGTATTATCTTAGACAATCGACCATCAACAAAAAGAACCGTCGCTCGAGCCTCTTTGACATGGTATTCTTCATTTCATTTGAATAGGTATTTTTCTCTTAATCTATACCAAAAATTACACAATTTAGATTTGTTTTGTGTGTTGGAATACAGGTTGGGACAGCATATGATACAACAACCACAGCACTGTCTCAATGTTTGAAGATATCTTCAAATTCTCAAACTCATAGCAATAAGAATGAGATGAATATCAAGAAGGAGCTGAATTTGCCTCTTTTAGAGAGTAAAATCACCACTACTTTTGCAAGCTCCCAACAATTGGCTTCTTCCATGGAAGTGATGAACAACAATAATCAAGCTTCTTCTTCTTCATCAATTTGGCTTTATGGGTTGATTGATTCACAACTCAAATCAGCTTCTCAAACGATGATTTGTTCTTCATCTTCTGGAGCAGGTGGGCCAGATCTTGAGCTCACTTTGGCAGCCCCAAGAGCTTCCAATTTGGAGTACGAACAAACCAAAAAGCCATCAACTGGTTCCCTCCTTGTTGACCCAATTAGGGTTCCCTAATTACTAATCAAACCCATCCCCAAAAATTCAATATCCAGCAAGAAATAACACAAAGACATATTGTTCTTGATGATTACAGTGTTTAATTTGGTTGTTTTATGAACAGCTTCCTTACTGAAAGTGACAAATTTATATATATGTTATTCGTCTTAATTTGTTTAGCTATAGCTCTCGAGAAGAAGCGCAAAGGTTGTAAAATGGCTCTTTAATGTCTTAATCCGTTAGCTATGCTCGAGAAGAAGCACAAAGTTCATAAAATGGTTCTTTAATGTTTTAATCCGTTTAGCTATGCTCGAAAAGAAGCACAAAGTTTGTAAAATGGCTCTTTAATGTCTTGATCTGTTGGGCTATGCTCGAAAAGAAGCACAAAGTTTATAAACCGTTCATTTGATCGACATATTAATTATATTATCTTAAACAAATGAAATTTGTGACCAAAAAAATAAAAAATGAAAATGAAGTGAGGGATTTTGGCATCTTTCTCAGCAGCTTCATAATTGTAGGAAACTGTCAACTTCATTCATAGCCCTCTCTTTTTACAGACTTTAGGGGGAAACAAATTGAAACTTAGGGTTTCTTTTTAAATAATTTAAGTCATTTCAATTGTACCAATGCTCTATACTCTTGTGTATATTTGCCAGCTGCCGATGCTAATGGAGACAACTGTGGAAAAGAACCCTAGTGGCTCAGAATAAAGTTTCTTAAAAAGCTCCCCTTTCTCTCCTCTTTCCTTTTGGCTTAAAAAGATCAATTATAGAATGATGATTTTTGGGTCTTTTTTAAAATACAAACAAAATTCATGGCTGCTCAGAAGAGGAATCTGGCTGTTTGATAATTGGAATGGCTATTAGTGAGGCAATTAATATCATCTTAGTATAAATTCATCAACTTTTCTTAGGTTTCAATTGTTCTTTCTCATTTTAGGATCAAAATAAATGCTATTCAGCACAAGTAGTACTAATTTGAGTTGACCCAAGTCATATAATCAGCAGCGATCCAAGAAAATGTCGAAATTTTTGTCGAGAAGTGAAATCTACATCCAAGACGTCATCGATAAACTCGAGAAGTTAAATCGTTTGGACCATACTAAATTTAACCATTTAATGCATATCGGGCGCAAAACAATTCGGGGTATCAAATTGGGCAAAAACCATGAATTTTCATTATCGAAAGTTTTCAATTAATAATTCACATGGGAAAGAAATCTTCAGTGTTACACTTTCAATCAATGAATTTGGCCCACAAATGTCCAAACTCTACCCCATAATTAATATCAATTTTCAGAACTCATACTCATGATTACAATAAGAATTATTGAATGTAGCCCTAACCTATAGTAACACTCCAAATAACTGGCTTCCAAATGAACAAAACTTGACCAGACGGCAAGAAAAATCACAGACAAAAGGGTCAGAAACAAAGGGTTAAAGGGATTGACGTCTGGAAGAACAAGAGGAGAGATCGATTGAAACTTGTGAAGACCTTGAGAGAGCAAATAGATATTATCCCTTCTGGTTTCTCTAAAGATTGAATGATATAAGAATTTGCAGGTTCAAAACACCCATCATGGAATGAAGTAGATGGAGACAATTAATAATAGGATTTGTTTTTTTATTTCATGTGGGACAAAACAAAATCTTGGCTTTCTTTTTGGCATACAAAACAACTCAACATGTGGAAAGATATAGAGGAATCTAAGGATGAGTAAATTGAGTGAATGAAAAGCTGACACACCTCCCAGCATTTTCCCTGTCCTTTGTTGTTTCCTGATAGAAAATAAATTTAAAAAAAAATAAAAAAAATAAAAAAATAAAAATTGAAGCTTGAAAACCCCAATATCTTAGCAGAACAGAGAATTCTAGAGATCTCTCCAAAGAAACAGCTTAAATGAGGAAAAGGGTGGGGAAAGGGACCTCTTCTTGGCATTCCCATTTGCAGATAAACCCACATGAATGTAATAATACAAGCTGAAATGGTGTCTCCATAGGCATAGAATAGGATAGATGGATATTAGAACAGCCAATGAATGGGAATCAATCGAAATGCAGATAAGGTTTTTGGTATCCAAGCAAACACTGAATAACCAGATAGGATAAATAGTACTCAATGCTCTATTTGAATAGTTGTTTTCTTACCACAATTTTTCAACTGTCTGGAAAATGACATTGCTGTACACTTGAAATTACCATGTACCTGTATATCAAGATAGCTTGATTATTGTAAAGTTAGTACCGAAAGGAAAGGACAATAATTGAATTTAAATGATAACAAAGGTTCAATGAATTATCACAGACTTATAATAGGAACCGTCCTAAGAGTACTTATGAGACTTATCCAAGTCTACCGCTAACATATATTGTCTTATTTGAACTTTCTCTTTCGAGCTTCTCCTCAAAAATTTTAAAACGCATTTGCTAAGGAGAGGTTTCCACAAAGAATGTTTCATTCCCCTCTTCAACCGATGTGGGATCTCACAACCTATCCCCTCCAGGACCCAGCGTCATTGCTAGCACACCGCCTCGTGTCCACCCCCTTCGAGACTCAGCCTACTCACTGGCACATCACTCGATGTCTAGCTCTGATACCATTTGTAACGGTCCAAGTCCACCGCTAACAGATATTGTCATCTTTGGATTATTGTGAGATCCCACGTTGATTGGAGAAGGAAACGAAACATTCATTATAAGAGTGTGGAAACCTCTTCCTACCAAACGCATTTTAAAAACTTTGAGGGAAAGTCCGAAAGGAAAAACAAACAATATTTACTAACGATAGTCTTGAACCGTTACTTATTACATTTCAATCAATCAAAAACAATGTACACAAACAGGGAAAATGGGAAAATGATTTTTCATTGATATCAAAGAATCACAAGCCTGGGGATTGTACCATGTACCACCATCATTATGCTGAAAGAAACACAAAAAGCATAGGGATTCGCAAGTATTTTGGATTTTTGAGAAACTTACTGGGATCCAGGTACAAGTTCTCTCCTGCTAACAGAAAATACAAAAAAATTTCTGCAACATTTATAATCACTTTTAGAGCACAGTGACTTTTCAACCGTCCCAAGATGTCCTCTTTACTACCTGCAGTATCCATCACTGAGTTGTCAACATTATTGTTTTGATAGTATTGGGACAACCAGCAAAGCAAATAACTCACATAAACTTTGTGTGGAGGACAAAGCCTTTGTTCTAATGTAAGAAGAGAGCAAACAGGCCTGGTTTTATCTTCTTTCTCTTGTTGTGCATTACACAATACCTGTCATTGTCCTCCAAATCGCCATCAGAACCTTGTAGAAACTCTCTGTTTAATTTCTATTTCTGTCTGACATGTTCTGTCACGATGTTATTAATATAAAAATGAAACCCCACAATTGAACCTGTCCTAAAGCAACTAGCTAGGAGAGGATTGAAGAGATTGGAGGATGCTTTGTGAAGGGAACCGTGATTGTTGTGATAAAGATGCACAGAATATGAACATCAATCAAGCCTTTTAATCTCGAAATGAAAGGATAAAGAGAAAAAAAATGGGGAAAGATAAGCTATGGAAGCATTCTGCAGAGAATTAGCTACAAAAATGATGCATTTTGTTGGGGTAGGAGGGACCAGTCGAGGACCTCCTCAGATGTTTAGTGAACATCATTCACTTTGAATGATGTTGATCTTTCAATGAAAAGAAGGGACGTGAAGCTTTTTTCATGGCTTAAAAAGCATCTGCTGCTTTTTAAGATGGGATTGTATATGGCCAAGTTACCTGAACAGCAGTAGTGATATCATTTTTATGATCTCACAATGGAAAATTTTGTTCTCTAGCTTAAAAAGAACACATTGTTTGCTGCAAAAGGTGACCTCATAGTTTAGTAAGAAACCTATCATGGACTGGAAAGAGCTTTTACTGAACTTACCAAACGTCTTCCTTCATGTCTTAATTCTCTGTCAGTTGATATTAATCGCTTTACTGCCACCTGTCTGAAAGAGATCCATTTCTCCTAATGAGAGATCCCTTCCTCTCCAGGTCCAGCAAGCAACTAATAACAAGGAACGCAGAGGAGTGAATTTCATTTTCACTTTGGTTATGAATTTCAATGATATTGGAAACCTTCAACGATTGGGAATGCAGAGGTAATACCTTGCAAGTCATCGAGGCAGTCAAATCTTGTACATCATCTGGGCCTCTGTGAACTGAAAATGGCCTCTGGATACACTAAAATTTTTGGAACTACATTACCTTTCAGGTTAATCGAACAACTGTGTGACTCAATTTGTAAAAAGAACATATATAATGAAATGAATGGCGTTAACAAATGGAAGTTATTTTACAATGAACAGGCCACCTATAATAATAACATTAAGGCCTGGATCAAAACTTGGAGTTCAGTGAATGGGATGAATTTGAGAATCGTAAACACACTACTCTGGTTCTCCCTCCCACTTGAACTATTTCGATGTGATCTTGCCTTGGCCGGAGTTTCACGTAGAAATTTGCCATCTTCAGGTCCAAAATAGTACAAAACTGAGAGCCCAATTAATAACCTTTCATTCTTCTGCACATGTTCTCTATTTCACAAGAAACCCTTCGGTCAAAATGTGGTTACCTCCTGCGTTTTCTTTGATATGGTATGCATAATATCATGAAAAATGAGAGCCTTGAACCACCAAAGTAATGCGTTTAGCACCATCTGTTCGAAGGCCATCTCCTTTGAATCCAATCTGGTAGGATAAATCATGCACGTTACCTCAGCAACAGTATCCAACAAGAACTGAGAGGTGATTACTAGAGGCTGAAGATTACCTCACTCAAACCATCAGGTGAGAACCACCGCAACAATACTCCAATACGCACCACAGCAGGAATAAGCTTGAAAAGCAATGGGGTAGTCACCTACACAATTGGTTTTATTAACACAATTACCGTAAAGTTGGATCATATAAAAACAACTTTCTGTGGAAAGTATCTCAATGTCTCATTGGAATAGATCACAACAGACCACACATTAATAACGCTTTTCATTTGATTTGCAACATAACAACTTTTTTTGTTTGGAAACTTTGATAAATTATTTCGTCTGAATTAGCATATCAGTGAGGAATGAGTTCCACAATGCCCCAGAGAGAGAAGAATACGGAAAGTTCAATCACATTGTAGGATGCACATTAGACACTAGATGTTAGGAGACTTCAAGAGAATGCAATAATAATTTAACTCACCAGACTAAGTGCAGTTGTGCCAAGCAGCAGTATATACAATTTTCCCTGAAATTTTTTTACATGAGAAAAAATTATTAAAAAAATACATAAAAACAATGTAAAAATACATCAAATTTTTTAATGAACGAAGAGTAGACAAATATTATAATATGAGAGATAGAATGAATTCTCGAGAAATAAAACATTGTGGCTTTTTAAGAAAGACCCACATTCAAGGCTCACACCTATATAAAAGACGACAATGAAGTCGAGATCTCCATCCCCTAAAGCCATGAACTATAAAATAACTTAATTTTGTAGATGTTGCAATACCAATATTGGAATGTTTGAAATCAAAACTTCAGTTATAATTGAGAATATGATAACGGAGCCCAAAATAATGGTACATTTTTTTATATAAAATACCAACTTTCATTGAGAAAAAAAAAAAAACGAAGAATACAAAGGTGCATAAAAAAAGCAATGCCCACAAAAGGGATCAACCCTAAAGACGGAATTGCATATTTAAACTTACTGTGGTTTTTAAAATAAAACAAACTTTTTTTTTTCTTAAATATTCCATTGGACCAGATAAATGAACCCATAACCTCAAAAGTTGCAGCTGTTAGAAGAAAGCCCAGTCAATTCTCATAAATCACCTAGGAGCAAGATCACAAGCACAATTGCCAAGCCTGCTCTATTCAGACCAGTCTTTCTTAGATACTTCTAACAAACCAAATAGGATTTATTGATATAGCATGCTCTGCATCATTCCCCCACAAAGAACCACCATCGCCCTCTTTCAGCACCCCAAGGGAAGTAGAATATGGGAGCTTCAACTCCCATACTTGATTCACCATGTTAAGGCACCATTGAGTTACATCCCTTCCCTTGCAAGAAATAGCATCGACTAATTCTAAGGCAAAGGGCCCCATATACCATTTGCAACGTGTTTCATTTGCTCATAAGGAGATGAGTTTTCATACATTTGGCTGTTTGGGACATAGACATGGAAAAGTAATCCACACTTGAAAATTAGCAGATACGGAAATTCTCAATGCAAGCATACCACGTAAAACAGAAGTCAATGTTAGAAAACAAAGTGGAAATTTTTATTTTGAGTTTGGAGACGGCGCTTATCAACACCAACAAATTATGAGCCTCAATCAAAGACCAGCATAAAATTCATGCACCAACCTCAACAAGATGAAGATTAGAGGCACGGCTTAGAAGGACAAAAGCAAATTCCCCAATTTGTGCGAGTGACATCCCGACCTATAAGATGAAACTACTTGAGGTCTCCTTCAAATACCTAAATAAAAAAAAAAGTCATTTCATTGTGAAGAAGCAGATTTGTTAGAATACATCTCACCAGAAGTGAAGTTTTGTTGTTGTATCCAAATCCCTTGACAACAGCAGTAACAACTACAGTTTTTATAACAATGACCAATATTACAGCCGCAAGTAAGATATCAATGTGGTTCCATAGGAAATGAACATGAATTAGCATCCCAATGCTGGCAAGAAAAAGAGCAGCAAAGAAGTTGCGAATGGGCTCAACCTAGTAATCAAGCCAATCAATAGAAGGTATTAAAAATTCCGAGCCAGCTAAAACAGATTCAGCAAAGATAAATGACAATATTAAATAAATAGTATAGTACTTGCTATAGACCCTAGTTTGAAGCTGACGAGAAATTTAATTGTCAACATCTCGTTTATCTGTGACCAAAAATTATGTTACAGAAATTCATTACATGTGGAATGTAAGCTGAGATTCATTGTCGAGCAAGAATCTAGATCATAAGTTCTATGATGCATGATTTTATTACGACTGGATCGTGAGATTTATCTGTAAGCTTGATGCCTGACCCCCAAAGGATCATAAGTTTTATGCTGCAGGTTCTCATTACATCAGGAACAGATGATTTATCAGAAAGCTGGATGCGCAACCCCCAAAAAATCATATACTTCAAGAGAGATTGTAAGTTCTATGTTGCAGGATTTCATTACATCTGGAACATGAGAATTATCAATAAGCTTAACCATCGCTGCCCTATCCCCAAAAATATACTTAGATCATAAATTTACTATTTTGAGACCTACAGTATTATCCGAGTACCCAGATACCTATACAAATTCTCATTTCCTATCAGAAAGAACATATATAAAAGGGAACAGCATATATTTATCTACAGCGTTGTTTGAGTGTAGGAACATGCAATTAAAACTCCAAAAAATCGAAGTACTTGGTAGTAACTATAAAAGGGAACAGCATTAAGGCTTTTAAATAAGTATGAAAAAATCATATTTACCTGCTCAAGTGTGTGCTGAGCAAGATCCGTAGTTGATATCATCACACCCGCAGCAAAGGAACCTAATTCAAGGCTTAACCCAAGTTTATCACTGCACTGCATAGGTGGTTATATAAATGAATCAGCATTGCTCTTATATACACAAAAAAACACTGGTAGATGCTAGATGCTTTAGATAGACCATCCTCAACAACTTTATTCTCGACTGTAATACCCTATCGGCTTTAATAAAAAAAGGATAAGGCAACTGGATAAGAACCATTTTTCCATGTACTACATTTCATAATAGAAAATGTAATTCTGAAAGAGGAAAAAATCCACAGCCAGAAAACTGAAGTTCTTCACCATTTCAATGTCCAATAAATGATACTAAAAACATGTTTTAAATGTCCAATAAATGATACTAAAAACATGTTTTGGTTCTAGAATTAAGCATTGGGAAGTAACACTAACCCAAGCTACAAGTAAGCAGAATGCAACAGCTGCCAATTGATAGAGTTCATTAGTCTGCATGGAAAAAATTTTGCTCAGAACATGAAGCAATAGTAGTAGCAGCCAAAGAAAATGTTGCCCTTACCTGAGATGACAGGCTAATCATAAGTTTAAGGAACCTCGGAACACATGTGCGAGATAATATTGTCAAAGTAATCAAAAACGTAATCAAGACCACCAACCTGGAAAATAAAGAAAATGGATGGGAAGAACTAGTTTTAGTTGAATAACTCAAAAGGCAAATTTTCCCAGTTGGCTATTAATCAACTAGAAAATTGAATGAAAAGAGAAGCCTGGATTAGTAGTCAATGCACCAACTATGCTATATTTTCAGATCTAAGTGTCATTATGCTGGGCGATAAATTTTTGGTGACGATAGATACTTGACTTATTTGACCAAAAGCCTCATAAATAAAAATTCTCGTGCGCACATACAGACAGCAGCAATTCTTACGACTTAGTCATGGACAGAACTCCTTGAAGAACACCAGAAGTACCACCAAGAATCGGAAGCAGGGCAAACAGCAAGCCTACAGCACAATCCTGGTGGTGCATAGTGAACCAAAAAAACTCTTATCAACATATAGCTAGCCATCCCAGACCAAAACTTCTAGTACATCCAAACAAGTCATCACTAATTAGTAAAATGAAAAAGTATTGGAAGAGAAATCAATTGTATACCTGAAGAATAAGCGTACCAATGGTCACCTGACCATGAATGGCATTGACGCTATTTCGTTCCATTAAAAATTTCAAGACCTATAGCAGATAATATCGTGGAAGCACCCAAATTTAATACAGATAATCCATGAAGGGCTTATTAATGCTGAGGAAAGAGCAATAAATTCTATTTCTAAAATATATATATACACACACTTGTCCAACAGTCAGTTCCTTGACAATAACTATTTAACATGACCAAAAGCTCGACAAGAGAGGAGTGTAAGAAGAATGAGACAAAGTAACTATGAAGCTGTTTATGTTTTCAAAGAGAAAAAAAAAACTCTGAAGGCCATTACATCTCTGCACCCGACTTCAAGAGCAG